TTTTTTTTCTTGTAATGCAGTTCCTAAACTTTTGACATTTGCACTTAAGTGTCAAAACTTTTGCTTTTATGCATTCCGATCAATTTTGCACAAACAATAAAAATTATGTAAAATTCAAATAAAACCACATAAAACTCATTCAAATAATTTAAATAATCAATGTTAAAATAATAACATGAATTATATAGAAATTCATCTCATCACTTGACTGCCATTTTGGGGAAACAAATTACATTCAACACCAACAATTACCCTTGAGTGGATGCTTTCCAAATGCATGTGGAATATAGAGCGGAAGAGTTTTGAAAAGAGAGGAATACCCTTTTTGTGTAGTGCTTTACATAATTGGGTCATCAACTAGACTAATAAACTATGGAAATTGACTGAACCTCTTGATGATATCTCATATGTGAGTGCAGACTAACATAATGTTCATAAAATTCTAAAAGAACCGAGCACTTTAAAAACTATTAAGTTGTATAGATTCACATGGTCCTGATGCATTGAAATGCACAATTTCCAAAAGGGATGTGGACACACCTCCTATCATGCAACCTTCCAAAACCACACCAACCCCCATCTCTCTTAATTAATGTTGCATTCTCCAAGATTTTTCATTCTTTTTTTTCTTTTTTCTTTTTTTTTTTTTTAATTTCCTTTAAAATGCCTTAATAAACAATGATAAAATTGTTCCTAATGGGAACGTTTTAACAATTAAAATTTTGAATTTTTATATTAAAAATTTTGAATTTAAATTCTAAAATAAGTGGGGTAAAGGTTTAAAAAGAAAAATAATTTTATTTTTTGTGTAATTTATTATTTAATATATAAAAAAATAACGTAATAATTGGCCTATACAATCCAAGGTCTCCAAACCCTTTAACTTTTACAATGAAATAGTGACATATTATCCCATGTATTATCTTGGATTCTTGAAGATCTTGTAGCATGATTAACAAATAAAAGAATGAAGCCCCACGAAGGAGCATGGAATAGACCATGCGGTTTCTTCTTACCCCATTGATTCTTTAACGATGTTAATAAAAAAATAATTTTTTATAAATTTTATACTTTTTAACATGAATGGTTTATTTTTAATTAAATCGAGTAAGTGAATTAGTATAATACACAAAAGCTGACTAATTATTCTACCCGATTGTTATAAGGGGAAAAAAGCATGGGAGAAAAAAGACGAATGATTAGCGTGGCAATTTGATGCAATGATGGGATTAAATCTAAAGTAAGCATTAATTTATAAATCAAGATTCTTAATAATAATAATAATACTAAGTAATTTAGTCGGGAAGAAAGGATGAATGGTAAGAAGTGGAATATTGGAGCTCATCACTCATTACACAATTAATTAAAAACAATTAGACAATATTGTGGGGATTTCAAATGGAACCTGACAAAGGTAAAAGAAGAGAAGCATTTCCCCCAAAACAAATGGAGTTCATTCTAGTTCTTCTTTCCTAGTGCATTTCTAAAAGACACTTATCCCCTTTCTAGAATAACCAATATCATGTGCAATGGAGGGCAATTTTGACAAACCATGCAATGGCTTGATTGGAAAAGGGTAGTGTTGATTATTGTAATTACTAATTTTTTGAACAATTATAACTATTGTTAGAATTTGAACATTAAGTTATCAAATACTAACTTAATTAAGTTTTTGTTAGTAATTTTTATTTGTCTATACATGTGCTATATTTATATGAAAATGAATTGTTGACAATATGTTGAAAGCAAATTCTCATAACATTACTTAGTATAAGTGGATCGATAAATTAATATTATTTATTTAATATTCTTTGATTGTTGTGAGAATTTGCCACTGTAACAAAAGTTATTAACAAATTTATTTTGTTATTTTTATATGGGTTAAATTCAATAAATA